AAATTTTATTCAACGGGTTGCCATCTTGCGGCCAGTAGCTGGACTATGATGAACGATTAACATCTGAACGAATAGATAAACAGAAAATTGAAAATTTATTAAAGTAAAACTTCCCGATGATATGAAATAGGTAATAATTTTGGTGCGGCTACCATTTGTGCACTCTAACAATAGGCTATAATTTATCTACGATTTTAGAGAATTTGCGCGAAAAAACGACACCACCACACCATATAAAGCGAAAATGGCGGATTGAGCTCAAATAGATCTAACGAGACCTAGTGTTGGCACGCATCAGATGCAAACTAACCATTTCTACCGTATTTATTGTTCTGTGGGATGAAATGTAAATTCTGATATTTACCATACAACTATTTTTTGTTTTACTCCAACCTTCCTCCTTGGCCGAACGGTTACCATGACGGACTGCCACGCAGAGGTCTCAGGTTCGATTCCCGGGCCGGGAGAAATATTTGTATGGCTTACATTTATTTCTCTCGTGAGTTTGGGTGTAATTTGTGATTGTTTATGTGTGTGTCCATGGCACCCGCGACACAGGGTTTCCCTAGTGCGGGGCTATGTTGAGTGTGTGCGTTATTATTATTATTATTATATATGAAAAAGACTGGATTCTAATATGAAGTGTTACGAAGTCGAACCGATTTTGAGAAATTTACCTTCTTTCTGTGAGAAAACGCTTTCAACTTTATATAAATGAATATTCACAAATAATAAATGATCAAAATATCAATCTCATATCATTTACATTTCACTTTAGGTAGAAATTACAACAACGCTTTCGTGGAAATGACTTAAGTAGTACCGTACACAAAAATATCAGTATTATTCTTGCCTTATTAATTAAATATTGTGTATGTAAGTATTGATAAATAAATAAATATATATATATCTATTGCAATATGAAATATTCAATGTAAATCATTGAATTTTGTCAGTCCGTTGTTGATAGTTCTATGTCGAAGTAGTAGGCGGCCATTACTTTCAACTGCCTCCGTGGCCGGTTACCATGCTGGTCTGCCACGCAGAAGTCGCAGGTTCGATTCCCAGACCGGGAGAAATATTTGTAATTCTTAATATCAAGTGACGGGACGAACGAGTCGTTCGCCTGATGGTAAGCTGTCCATGACAGTTGCATTGCCACTCAGAGCTTTAAATCGCAAAAGATGATATGAGGAACACTGCCACTGCGCCCGTCACCCTGAGGCATAAGTTGACAAGTCCCACGTGCCTGTAATTTCACCAGTCAGCACCTTCATGCGTTTTCTCCACTGAACTACCACCTCTCTCTTTTGAAGTGTATACAGAAAGTATTCAAACAAAAGTAAACAAGATATTTTTAAACGCTGTATTCAAAAAGGGTGAGAAGCTTTTACCAGGAGCGTTTGTTAAACAATTCAGCAGAAAACTTTGCTGAGATGGGTAAGCAAATAAAGATTAATAGATCATTAATTGAATTCATTCAATAATTGCCATGATGCTTTAATGAATTGCGCGCTTGGGTGGCCGGAATGAAAATAGTAGACCCAATTATACTGTTAATTGACATTAGGTACACAAAGCTAATGCTCCCAGGAATAAACAAAACAAATAAAATATTTATGTTGTATTCGATGGGCCTGATTGTTGAGAAAAGAAGCTGAAAGTGACATCAACGTCAGCTTCAGGTACCTATAGAGTTACTGGCTGGGGTGAGGTTTCTAAAATCTCTCACTAGATGTCATTACGGCGCTGACAATCGAATAACCAGTAGAAAGAAGATTACAACAACACATAGGAGAATTTCGTCAACTCTATAACTTGACCTGTAGCTCAGTTGGTATAGAGCGACGGTATGGCACAGTGTGGTCATGGGTTCAAGACCCACACACAGGATCAACGAAATTTAGCTTTGTATTCACAATCAAAAGAAGCTGCTTTATTTTATGTACATAAACAATCAAATGGACAGAAATTCCTTACTGGTGTTTATAAATAAATATCAACCGTGGTTGCCAAATGGTTAACTTATGAATTAATACGAAACTTGATGAACGAACAAACGTCAAAACGGCCATCATAGCGTGCCGGTACTGTAGATACGTTTTAGAAATATACGAAACAAAATTGTTCTACTCATGATTGGCCATACTGTATGTACATGGTTTACATTGTAGATTAGAACTAGTATTAATGTTTTAAACTTTTGTTAAGAAGTGAATTTAGACTATTTTGTACATCTAATATATAAATAAATCCAAAAAAAAGTGAGGTGGACTTGTTTAACACCAGGGGGCCTTTTTTTCCGATGGGAAATGCGTTACGCATACCGCTCGGCTCGGAGGAGCATCGAGCGGTTATGTGGGACTTCCGGGCTGTAGTCCCTTATACCCACTAAAACCCAGCGGTTAACTCCACCGCCATAGAGAGACGACACAGGATCCGCTTGCGCATACTACTGGGACGTCTCGGCGGAAGGGGTCCCCCGACCCCAATGTACGGCGGGGAAGAAGGTGGGCGTACTGCCTCCTTCGTCTCCCCGGCCTACGTCTTCGAAGCGGTTCAGAAAGGGAGTCCTCCTCTCTGGAGCGCTCCGCAGCCTCCTTCTGCGAGATTACGATCTCGCAAAAGTATACCATAGCCTCCCAGCACCGAGCATTGCGCCCACGATTGTTGGCAGCGAGAGATCTCCTCCCACTATGGCAGTCAGGGAGGGCCCTAGCTATTATAAGTATTTCACGTATTTAATTTTGTTATTTGTATTTATTATTAGTAGCAGTAGAGCTTCTTGTGAAAGAGTTCGTCCAGGGAAGTACTGGACCTTTATGTATTTCTGCCCCCAAAGAGTAAATCAGCGTTACTGTGTTCCGGTTTTGAAGGGTAAGGGTGCTTATGAAATTACAGACACATGGGACTTGTGAACTTGTCTCAGGATGACTAGCGCAGTGGCGGTGCGCCTCAGATCTTTGCGATTTAAAGCTCTGAGTGGCACTGATATTGTTATCAGGCGCACGACTTGTTCGTCCCGTCATTTGATTTTAAAATTGTCAAATTACTTTATACCTTTTTCTATCACTGTATCGAATAATTATCTGTGGAAACTTTTAATTAGCCCCAGCATATTAGAGGATAGAAGAAAATAAACCCAGCATATATGCACTGGTGCGTCAGGCATGTGTCATACATACCATTCTGTTCTTGTTACCTAGCTGTAAGTTTTCCAAAAATAATGAAAAAACAAAAATCATTTATAATAACACCATTTGCACCAAAATTTCCGAACACTGAGGAAAATATCCTCAATTTATCGTTAGCGATATTTTTGCCTAAACAGCGTTTTTTATTGCAAATTATATTTTAAACTTAACAGACAAGGACGCGTCGACACTTCCCGACAAAATTACAACAACTAAAAATTATAGCGAAGGTAAAGTTTATCGATACCTCATTTGTTTTTTTTTATATTTTAATATAACCGATATAATCAATATTAAAAAATCATAACGTTATAGCGAGGCCACTTGTTATCGCAACCGACATGGTACATCACAATTTTATCGAGTACTATCATACAAGTACTCTATGTTTACTATAAACAAAGTGGCAGTAAATATGTTGCATCTTGTTGTATATTTTTAATCACAAATTTTAACTTACATGCCTCAAAAATCTGTAGATAGATATAGCAAAAATATTGTAAGCGCCAAAACTGGGTTGATATTCATTGTTTTAAAAAACATTTTTCTGTTTCACAAGTATTCACAACCGGTTAAGAAAATCATTATTATATTGTTAGAGGCGTCCCTGCTAGTGCTGCCAACCGACTGCGACAATCCTATACAATTCAACGTGTAAGTTGGCAGTACCGGGCTTCAATCATCGCTGCCAACTGCTGGCGCGTTGGCGCCAAATGCCGACGACCGACCTTATAAAAGGCGCTTACAAATCACACCGCCCGACCCTTTGCTGGTGTGCTCTCGGCGCGTCTATACTGTATCTGCACCTACCAGCTTGTACTAATTCGCGCGCTTTTCAAATGTTTTATTGTAACCGATTTTTGCCTTATTAAAATTATTCCTGATTTAAAGTGTTTTTACTTCTGATCCAGACTTCTCAGAAAATAATATTAAAATTAAATTTAGTATCACATTTATATGTAGAAATATAAAAAAAAAACCTCTCCTGTGAGTACATTGTGTGATAGGCTCAACTCACACTGCGGCAGAGTCGAAGCGTCGCGACGCGTCATGTTTTCGCCTATAGCATATTCATCTATATTTTCCAATTATTTAGGTACAAATTTGTGTTTTGCTAAGTTTTGTGGAGTTGAACAACAGGACGCGACGCGTCGCTTCGACTCTGCGCCAGTGTGATCGCCCTTACGGCTCAACAGCCGTAAGGGCGATAAATGAAAAATTACCAACGAGAGTTTGTTAGAAGCCCGAAGCCGAAAGATAGATTTATGGCAAAATATGATATGACAATGTTTAATTCGAACAATAGGATCTCTCGATTGGAATTTTTTAGAGAGGTATAGTGAAAAAGTCCAATGTCCGCAACATCGCTGATCCGACCCACTGTGTCGCAAAGTTAAGACAAATATAGTGTACCTGCCTGTCCCCAATAACGTCAATTTTTAATGAACTTAAATGACTTCCCGAATCCCGAGCAGGTCCAGGACCTAAAAAATATTGTCGTAAGGCAGTCTCCATTTTCTGTCCATGTTCCTCGAAGTTTAGATACAAAAAACTCTACCTATTCCGATCCCTGTTTATGATACTGTTTACGAGCAAGTGTGATAAAAAATATGTTTTTTGTCGCTTATACTAGCTAATTCAGCGGTAGTGCCTCGATACCTCCTCCTCTTTTTGTAGTCGGTTAAAAATAGTTCTAATACTCCGGATATTTGGACACATGGGTACAACAACTCACGAAAGTTTTATTCTAATCGGATGAATAAAGGAATGCGTACAAACATTAATTTTGTTTAGGTATATATAGATTTTATTTATTAAATCATAAGTAGTATTAAATCTAATTACTAATGAAGTAAGTAATAAGGGCGAGAATATAATATTTATTAAAAGCAAACATCAACAGACAATAAGAAGAACAATACAACACTGAATAATAAGACCATAAGACTAATTTTCCCTTATGAAGAAGCCATTCTTGGCAATAAAGATTGTACTTTGATTTATAAAACAATGGATTATGATATTTTTGTTTATAAACAAACTTAATAATTATTTTGGAAACATAACTACTTTTTCTAATACTAGTGAGATTTCCTTACATTTCTTAACTCACGAATTGGTCTATCAGTGTTTTCGATCAGATCCAAATACCGTTGTTGGATGGTCCTCAAATAGTACGTCTGTTCCTTTAAGGTTTCCAATATCTTCTGATTTATAACCAGAAGACGTTCATCTGCCATCACATGAGTAGTACTGACCGCTTCAGTTAGAAGCTCGAGTTCTGTACTTGGTGGAATGCAAGGTATACCTTCAATAGATGGTCCAGGTAGTATCCTATCAACAGTCGGTTTCATTTTAGAGTAGCCATTGTTATAATCCGCAAGAGCTTTTCCCAACCACGAGCAGCTTAAGTTGTTGCCTTCCAAGTAAATCTCTAAAGGAAATGCGTGTTTCAACCAACCCTTATATTGTAAATCTACTAAGCCATTCGATCTCAGGTATAAAACGTCTAGTGTTTTCAAATCCATAAACAGCTTGGAATCCAAATTTGTTATCATATTATTGGAGAGATCTAAACTTGATAACGTTGTCAGTCCCTGGAAGGTTCCGTATTGTATCGTTGTCAATTGGTTATTTGCCAGGCTTAAATGTTTCAAACGCCTTGCGTAGATAAATGTAGAAGGCCCTATTTCTCTGATCTTATTCTCACTTAGGTCCAAAGATGTTAGACTCAAAGGAAGGCGTAACGACATAGCGTTTAATTTTTCAATTTGGTTTCTCTTCAATTCCAAAGTTTTAAGCCTCAAATTTGTAAAATATATCTCAGATAGCTTATTTGAATTCAAAATTAATGTCGTGATGTATGAAGATTCTCGACCAGGTAAATTAACTTCTGATAGTCCAGTGTCAGACAGATCTAAAATATTATTTTCGGATTGACTTTTCATCATAATTGTCTGATTTAATCCACGCTCTAATTTATTATTCGCCATATTCACATAGACCAAATTGTACGTGTGTATGAACGGGAAATGAGAATCATAACGCAAATTATTATTCGATATGTCCAACACTTCCAAGCTGCGCATGCTATAGAAAGTAAAAGGGAAGAAAAAAGTAATCCGATTGTTGCTAAGATTCAGTATCCTGACTTGTGCTATATTCTCACTGTTAACAATGAAATCCCTGAGTTGGTTGTGAGACATATCTAGCTTAACAATTCGTAAAACGTATAGAAAAGCGTTGTAACCGACATTACAAATTGAATTTCTCGAAAGATCAAGTTCTGTCATTACATTTACATTCTTTTCAGTCAACTCCCTGGTATATCTCAAGAAAATTTCCTTTGTTCCGTTATGAAGGGAGGTAATGCGATTTTCGGATAGTTTTATGTTGCAAACTCCATCGATACTCTGCCAATGTCTGAGCAATATCGTGGATTCCAGTCGATTCAGATAGTTGCCAGAAATATCAAACGTTTTTAATTGTTGTATACGTGATACAGATTTATCGTCTATATTACGCAATTTGTTACCCCGTAAGAATAAATGTACCAAATTATCAAGGTTATTCAAAGCTCCATTCAAGTTCGTTATTGTATTATTTTCCAGATTAAGCGTTTGAAGCATTGTTAAATTATTAAATTGCTCTTCGCTAAGATCTGATATGTAGTTATATGAAAGATCAAGTTCTTTAAGAGAAGTTAGGTCTTCAAACGCATTTCTGGAAAGCTCTTTGATAGCATTATGAGCTAGAGAAAGATATGTTAGGTTGTTAGGTATGCTCTCAAATATGAATAGCTCGGATATTTCCGTCAATCTATTGTATGAGAGGTCTAAATACTCAAGATTTTCAAGAAGAAAAAATGGGGTAGATTTTTCGATTACGTCAATTGAGTTACGTGTTAAAACTAGCTTTTTCAACTGAGTCATTTGATTTAAGAAAGTGAGATTGGTTTTTGGCCAGTTTCCTGATGCGGTGAGAGAGGTAATGGAGTTAAGAAATTCGGGATCAATGTTTTTGTCAAACCTGTCAGTGGTTTGAGTGAGGGTGAGTTCCGTTGCTTTTTGTCCATTAATAGATCCCCGACAGTTGGAAGGGAGAGTGATGTTCTGGAGAGTCCCGTAGCAGTGTATGCGGAAGTTGCAGTCACCAGTTTGCACGATCTCTTTAATAGGACATTGACAGGCGACGAATGAGAACGCTGTGACGATAAGAAGGAACGCTTGATGAACTGTAATAGAGACATATTTTCACTTTTAAAAACGTCTGGGTATACAAATTGCTATTAGTTTTAATTTTAAATAGCTATTCACTCCTTATTTAAATAAAAAAAAATATTTTGCACATTAGAATAGAAAAATTTTAAAATGTAATGAGAATCCACTGATACGATAAAAGTCATACGTATGTAATGAATTTGTTATTGTTTAATTTAGATTTAAGATAGTTAAAAAATATTTCTTATTTAATGTGTTTCTGCCAATAGCTAACTTTAAATAATTTTTTTTTTAATTACCTAAAAAAAATTTGTATTATTATTATAAACATAATAATAATATAAAATAATAATAATAATATTTATTATTATAAAAATAACATAAAAAAATTTTGAATTACCGAAATGATAGAACATCCTATAATATTGAAGATTTCTTATAAAATTTACATTTCATATTATTAAATTTTTTATTGATTATTTTACTATTGTTATTATGTTTCATTAGTATTAGGTTGCATTAATTGGACTGCATGATTATAATATTATTACAAATTATTGCATGAAAATTACTAAAACTAAGAAAACTTTGTATGCCATAAGGCGGATCACAGAGATTCAAAATTCATTCTTGTAACAACTTTATAACCTGTGTATCACAAAGAAATAAATAATTTGATTTGATTTAAAAAAAATTCTTTTCAAAATGTTATGTTGTCTATGGTCACTTCTAAAGACATTTTAGCGCTCATTTTAAGAACTTAAAATGAGAGAGATAGATAGACAGAGAGAGAGAGTAACTGTAACCGTCGCATAGTGTATGTATACGTGGTTCGCGACCTTTGAACTTTGAAGCTCCTTGTGAAACAGTTCGTCCAGGAAAGTATTGCCTTACCTATTTCTGCCACCAAGCCATAATGTGAGCATTATTGCGTTCCGGTTTTGGAGTGTAAGGCTGCTGGTGAAATTACAGGCACATACTTGGTTTTTATGAACAATTTTTATTCAATATTTATTCATAAAAACCAAGTGCGAACTTGACCTCAGTCTCATCTGATACCGACGATAAGGTGAACGATGAAACATGCACATTTAAATAATGCCTATTCACTCTTATCTTGAAAAGACCAGTTATAGCGTTAAGAGAATAAGTCTACGAGCAGGAAACTAAATAATATAGCAGCCATCTAAATGTGGACTTGTAACGCTTCCTGCAAATCTTTAGAATGTCCACAATATAGGGATGGAATCCCAGTTTACATCTAGTCTCACGATTAATTAATGTTAATAAAATTACTACTCACCATGCCTCATGATTGAACTGTTTGTTTATTCAAAAAGTAAGTATTTTTCCAGTACGCATCTATGCCTGCTGTTCTGTATTGTTGTTGCCCCTGAAACATAGGAAAAAATACTGTCATCGAACGATTAAATAACAGGCTTAATGCTAAAGAGAGACTTGAATACATAGACCGACACGCTAGCCCAAAGAGAGTTAGGGACTTCACACGTATCTCAAATGTTGTGATTTTGTGCCTACCGCTAAGTGTACCGACGTCGGCACAAGCGCTAATACAAGTCTTTCATTTATGAGCATTCGGGAGCCGAACAACGGGCAACGTTATTTTCACCTTTCTGAACGCGTGCTTAGGTTCCTATTTCCTCGCAGTGAGCGCCTGGTGTCATTGGTCAGATTTAATAGGCTATTATAACGTAGGTATTTTCGATTTTGTATGACAGTGATGTATCTGTTACGTAGTAACTATTAAGTAATATGTGATGCAGGTTTGATCACTATTTTTCCCTTTAACATTTACAAATAATGAATATAAATATTAGACAACATAACATACGTTGCTCTGATGCGAAAGTAAGTAGCTAAAGCACTTGTGTTACGGAAATCAGAAACAACAACGGTACCACAAACACCCTGATCCGAGACAATATAGAAAAGTTCGTTTTCTACACCCGGCCGGTGATCCATCCCGGGACCTCAGAGAAAGCGGCATCATGAAAACCGATGTGCGAGCCACTCGACCACAGAAGCCGTCAAATATAATAAAGTAAATATTAGTTGGCACTATTTCAAGAATCAGAAAGAGTAAGGGCATTTCCTAGGAACGAGTAAAGAGAGAGATGAAGACGACTAGGAGTCCGTGGTTTTACACTACAATACGAAAAATGTTTTTGAACTATTTTTGCATTAAATTGTTAACAATCAAACACTAAGAAAAATTGCCAATTGCCAGACGTACTCTCGACTGACCTACGGATTGAACTACCAGACCTTAGAAATTTATCTTTGTGCTTGTATCAGACACTATAAAAATCGATTTTCAAGCAACTCGACCACAGAGACCGTCAATGTATGTAAGTTATAAATCAAACCTGAGCGTTACTGCACTTCGGTTTTAAAGGCTAAGTAAGGGTGTTGGTGAAATTACATAAGGCACATGGGGCTTTGCAACTAATGTCCCACGGTCACAGGCGTGGTAGCATTGCTCCCTTAGATCTTTGCGATTTAAAGCTCTGAGTGTCAAGGACACATTGCTAAACACTATTTTACTTGCAGACGTGTAGTTTACCATCAATTACACGATTTGTTCGTCGCGTCATTCGGTATATTAAGAAAAAAATAAAAGTCACAGGTAGGATTTTAAGCCGTTCTTATCATAGAGTTGATTTTAAAAGACAAATGGAAAGTTGCTTTTGACCCTCTACAAGCCGCCACAGGAATTCAAACCGTCGATCAATCAATTAAAGCTATTCGCCCACTGATTTACAGCTACTTCAGACATTCAGAAAAATCATTTAAATTTACTATAACGTGGAAGATCCAGGTCTATTCCTACCTTGTAGTAAATAGCGAAGAACTACCCAAGAGAGGTTGCTTAGAAACGTTCAAAGGTATTCTCAAAGGAAACGAGTAAAGATCTAGGTATACTCGTTAGTTGACTCAAGAACGGTTCAACTTTTACTGCATTTATTTAATACGCTGTCAGAGATTCTTTAGTACGATTTTTACATTTATTCCACAATAGGAATTTGACGAAATAGTGAAAAACGCACAATTTTTGTCTTTGATCGCAAATATAAACATTTTTTTTTACAAAATCACGTTATGGGACAAACAAGTCGTGCGTTTGATGGTAAACTACACGCCTGTCCATAACAGTTACAGTGCCACTCAGCTCTTTAAATAGCAAAGATCTGAGGTACACTGTCACTATGCCCACCACCCTGAGACATAAGTTCACAAGTCCCATGTGCCTGTAATTTCACCAGCACCCTTACCCTTCAAACCCAGAACACAGTAATGCTGACATTACAGCTTGGCGGCAGAAACAGATAAGGCAGTACTTCCCTGGACGATATCTTTCACAAGGCTACTCGGATATAATATAATTAATTATGCGTCAAACGAATTCAAATAAAGCAGTCGAAGAAGACAATGCTACCTATAATAATAAAAATAATACTGTCATTCCCGGGAAACACGGCCTTTCCCATTTAAAAATTCAAAATTAATCTTTGAGGCCTTGGCAGATGCGAGAGACTAAAATAGATATCCAAAATCATTGACTCAAAATAATAATAATAAAAATAATAATTTCTATTTCATCCAAATGTTTACAATACCACTCATATAAAGGTTTAAGAAAACATATAGGTTTAACAGTTCTTTATGCGAGTTTTTGAATAATATAAATCATTCACACACTCATTATACAGTAGCGCTCCTTGTGAAAGAGTTCGTCCAGGGAAGTACTGCCACCTTATCTATTCCTGCTGCCGAGCAGTAATGTGAGCATTACTGCATTCCGGTTATAAAAGGTAAGGGTGCTGGTGAAATTACAGGCACATGGGAATCTTATGTCTCAGGGTGACAGGTGCAGTGGTAATGCCTTTCAGATTGTTGTGATTTAAAGCTTTGAGTGGCACTGCAACTGCTCTGGACAGGCGTGTCGCTTACTTGTTCGTCCCGTCACTTAGTATCCGAAAAAGTGTATTACAACTAGGTAAATAAAAATATTATATTATATATTATTACTACCGGTACTTTTTTTTGTGAACCACATTGATAAAAAACTTGATAATTAAAAAAACAATTGTCTTACCTTATAAAATATCCATGTGTATAATAATGCGTATTGCATGCACAATAACTCAAAGTCCAAATGATGGGAGCGAGCATTTAATTCGATGCTTGGAATTTTGCCGCGTCTTCAAAATGGAAACGCTGCAGCGTCAATGAAAAGGTAACACAGAAGTGACAAATGCCATTCTTATTTCTGCCTCCAAGTAAAAGAATTTAT